CCTGTGGGGGCTGCAAGGGGGGCTGTGGCTCCTGTGGGGGCTGCAAGTCCAGCTGCTGTCAGTCCAGCTGCTGCAAGTCCAGCTGCTGCAAGCCCTGCTGCTGCCAAGACAGCTGCTGCAAGTCCAACTGCTGCAAGCCCTGCTGCTGCCAGGACAGCTGCTGCAAGTCCAGCTGCTGCAAGCCCTGCTGCTGCCAGGACAGCTGCTGCAAGCCCTGCTGCTGCAAGCCCTGCTGCTGCCAAGACAGCTGCTGCAAGTCCAGCTGCTGCAAGCCCTGCTGCTGCAAGCCCTGCTGCTGCCAGGACAGCTGCTGCCAGTCCAGCTGCTGCAAGCCCTGCTGCTGCCAGGACAGCTGTTGTAAGTCCAGCTGCTGCAAGCCCTGCTGCTGCCAGTCCAGCTGTTGTAAGTCCAGCTGCTGCAAGCCCTGCTGCTGCCAAGACAGCTGCTGCAAGTCCAGCAGCTGCAAGCCCTGCTGCTGCCAAGACAGCTGCTGCAAGTCCAGCTGCTGCAAGCCCTGCTGCTGCAAGCCCTGCTGCTGCCAGGACAGCTGCTGCCAGTCTAGCTGCTGCAAGCCCTGCTGCTGCCAGTCCAGCTGCTGCAAGCCCTGCTGCTCCTCAGGCTGTGGGTCCTCCTGCTGCCAGTCCAGCTGCTGTGCCCCTATTTGCTGTCAGTGCAAGGTCTGAGGTTCTGGACACAGAACTCCAGTGGCCCCTGCGCACCCTCAGTCTCCAGACAGGGGCAGGAGCTGCACCCCAGGCCCCTGGGGCTCACCCCTGGCTCTTATCTTCCAGTTGTTGGAAGCTGCATCTGCAGACCAAGGAGGACCCAGGTCTCCAGGGAAGGACACCACTCACTGGTGGGGCTAGGTCCCTCTTCCAATGCCCAGGGAATCATGCCTCTCATCCCTCACCCACATTCTCCAGCCTCTGAGTCACTGCCCCTCATGGCCTGTGGCTTCATCTGGACATGCAGCACACAGTGGAGTCCCCACAGCCTGGGCACCCCCAAGCTGTGAGCACCTTGTCCACTGACAGTGGCCCAGCCCAGGCTGGCTCCTCTGGGCCCTCCCTCTCTGGCCAACTTCTCTGATTCCTCTGTGGAGGCGTGAACTGTACCCTTGATGTCCTGAAATAAAGTCTGTCACCCACTCTGTTTCCATGGTGTTCTTCACTTTATTAACTAATCAATGAAAGCCCCTATCGCCACACCTCGATCCTCCTCCAAGTTCTTCTGCTAGTTCCTATCACCATTCCCCCTTGTGTCCATTGGCTCCTGGAGCCAACTAGACCATGCCCACCATGGGGCATGTCAGGGCCAGGGTCAGCAAGGCAAGGGCCACATAGCACCTGCTTCCAGGTCTTGGGCCTTCTGTGATCTGGAAACCAAGGCAGCAGGGGGCGTGGGATACTGGTGCCACTGAGCAGCTCTGCAAAGGACCTGGGTCATCAGGGCACCCAATTCAAGTGACTTCACCATGGCGAGGAGACCAGGCGCAGGGCCAGGCCCAGGGGCGGAGGTTGCACAGCTGGGACATCTGGGGACAAAGGTTCAACCTGTGGTGAGGTCCAGGAAGTGAGTCGGAGACATTTCTGCTCACTTGACCCAAGAGCCGTGGCTATCACACTGATGTGTGCTGAGAACCCAGGTCCCTGGAGGGCCAGAGACGTGGGGAAGGAGAGACAGACCTTGAGGAACCCTGCTGAGAGTCAGAAGGGGACCTGGGGCTCGGCCTGGGAAGAGCCAGCGGGTGTGTCATTCAGCTTTTCACTGATGTGACCAAGATTCCTGACAGGGATGACTGAGAGGAGGAGAGGATTATTTTGACTTGTGGCTTCCGAGTCTCAGCAGCTGGCTTAGTGAAGAAGAGAGAGGAAGGGCCACAGGGAGGAGGAGCCCTTCCAGCACACCCCCAGCGGCACTTCCTCCAGCTAGTCCTGACCCCCAGCAGTCCACCAACCTGAAGGGATGAATCCACCGAGGAGGCCAGAGCCCTTAGGATCTAAGGACTTCCCAGAGGTCCCACCTCTGGACCCATGAAACCCTGCGGGACATCCCAGATTCAGAGCCTAACATTCCACCCCTGCCCCAAAGGCCCACACCTATCCCACAATGAAAGATGCACTCAGTCCCTCTCCAAGAGTCCCCTAGTCTTTGCAGTCCCTGGGTTGCTGAAGTTCAAGTCCAAAGTCTCCTCCAAGACTCAAGGCAACTCTTAGCTGTAAGCCCATTTAAAAATCTCAAAGCAAGTGACATGCTTTCAACAGGAAATGACAGCACAAACACTCCTTTTCCAAAAGGGCTGGGGCCAAAGCCAGGCTGAAACTCAGGGAGGCCACTAGGTATTTGAATTTTTGGTGGATGGACCATGGTGGAGGATAATAGAACTCCTAAATAATTAATTGGAAAATTTAATTGTACTTTATCTATTGCTCTCTCTAGATTATAATTTTTAATAAGTTTGTAAGTGTGGCATAACATTCTAGCAATGTGTTTTTATCTTTGTGTGCTAATAATACAACATCCATATAGTGAAATATTTGTAGTTCAGGATTTTGATTTCTAAGTGGCTGCATTGCTTTGTTAACATAGATTTGACACATAGTTGGGCTGTTAGCCATCCCTGAGGGAGTACTTTCCATTCATATCTCTGATCAGGACCTTCATGATTCAGTGCAGGGATAGTAAATGCAAAACGTGGACTATCCTCAGGATGAATTGGAATTGAAAAAAAACAATCTTTAATATCTATAACTAAAACATACCAGGTTTTTGGCAAAGCAGACAATTGAGGAATCCCTGATTGAGCAGGTCCCATAATAACCATCTCATTATTAATGGCTCTTAAATCTTGCAATAATCTCCATTTACCAGATTTCTTTTTAATGACAAAATGGGAGTATTATGGGGAGATACGGAAGCTTGTATATGTCCCTTTGCTAATTGTTGTTTGACCAGGTCATGGGCTGCTTGTATCTTTTCTTTAGTCAGGGGCCACTGAGGAACCTATACTGGTCTTTCTGATTTCCAAGTAATTTTTATTGTCTCAGTGGCCCTTTCTGAAAATCCAATCCATGTCTGTCTGTTCCTTGATCTATTTGAATTGGTGCTGCTATACCTTGTTCTTGTTCTCCTAATCTTTTTCTTTTCCTAAAACCTTGTCTAGCCATAATAGTGGGAGCATTTGAATTGATGTTATTTGTTAATGTTAGTCCTAATTGATCTAGGACATCTCGTCCCCATAAATTTATAGGAAGATGATCCAATACATATGGCTGTGTAGTTCCTTCACATCCTTCAGGATCCTTCCAATCTAATACCATTGCACTTCTATGGGGATTAGTTGCCACTCCTAGGCCTCGAAGCGTTTGAGTGGCATGTTGTAATGGCCAATGTTTTGGCCATTCTTGACGAGAGATGATGCTAAGGTCTGCACCTGTGTCCAGTAGCCCATTAAATTCATGTCCTTGAATATTTAGTTTTAGCATGGGGCGAGAATCTAAATTTAAAGAAAGCATAGCCCAATCTACACCTGTGGAGCCTAATCCCCTGGAACCTCTTTCTATACTACTACTGGAAAATTTATCATGCAGGCTGGGTATTATTAATAACTGTGAAATTGCTGATATACCCCTTGGAGAACTGGCTATAATTTTTATTTCACCTTCATAATCGGGATCAATTACCCCAGGACTTATCATAAGTCCTTTTAGAGTAGAAGAACTGTGTCCCAATAATAAGCCTACTGTTCCTTGGGGAAGAGGTCCTTTTACCCCTGTGGGAACGATTTGAACTCCCATCTCTGGAGTTAGTACTGCTCTGGCGGAGGCGCAGATGTCCAACCCTGCGCTTCCTCTGGTTTGTCTGATGAGGGATCTAATGGATAATGTGTCCTGGGCACTACCCTGATGGGGTTGCTGGCTTCCTCCAGTGCTCTGTATATTTGTGGTCTTGGGCCCCAGAGCATTGGGCCCCCCTGTCCATTTTTTGGCAATGGAACCCGATGCCTTTCTCCATGACATCGTGGATAGACACCTGGTCCTTGTTCGTTTTTTGATAATGGAGTACCCTCTATGGTGGTTTGAGAACGGCATTCATTAGCCCAGTGTCTCCCTCTATGGCATCATGGGCAAATACCTGGTATTCTACTCCTTTGATACCTAGTTTTGTTAAACCCTCTTCCTATGGGGCAATTCCTTTTAAAATGTCCTGTTTGTTCACAATTGTAGCATGTTTTTGGCCTGGCATCTAAAGCCTGTTGTACTGCAGCTGCCAAGACTTGCCCTTGTTCATTAATGTCTCTACATAATTTAATATATGTGTTTAAATCTTCATGTTTCCATGGTCTAATGACTTCTCTGCACCAACGATTCACTTGCTCATAAGCCAGTTGTTTTATTAATGGCATTGCTTGTTCTGTATTCCCAAAAACTCTGGTAGCTGTTTGAATAAGCCTATCTAGAAATTCAACATAAGTTTCATTAGCTCCTTGTATTACCTTAGATAATTGACCTTGTAAACCTCCATGTCCTTGTAAAGTCTTCCATGCCCTAACAGCATCTGCAGCAATTTGTGAGTATATGGCAGGATCATATACAATTTGTTGCTGCTGACCCTCATAAGGTCCCTTTCCTAACAACATATCTAGATTTCTCTGAGGATAACCAGCTGCTGCATTTCGCCTAGCCGTCTCCTTGCAAAATTCCTCATTGGCAACCTTCCATAACAGGTATTGTCCTCCATTTAGCACAGCTTTACATATACTAGCCCAATCTGCTGGCCTCATGTTCAAATTGGTAATGGATTTGATCATGCTTACAGTGAAGGGTGCTTGAGGACCATAGATTGTTACAGCCTCTTTTAGCTGCTTCACTGTTTTGAAATCTAAAACATGGTGAATTCACTGCCCTCCTGCCTGCTCAAATACAGGGCATGTTAATATTTGAGGTCCTGTCTCAGGATCCCATCTATCAACTACCGGGGTTGGGGGCCTCCCAGCATATGGAGGTGGCGCTGTTGGTTGGACACTTACATCCTCTGGTGATAGAAAGGTGTTAGTAGCAGTCTCCTGTTGTAACTTTCCCCCTGATGGCTTTTTCTTCTAAACTTTCTTCCTCTGTCTGACTAGTTTGAGAGACCTTCTCTTTTACTTGAATTTTTCCCTCTGTCTGACTAACTTGAGAGACCTTCTCTTTTACTTGAATCCATATGTCTTCTCTTTCCTCTACCATTGTCTGAACTGAAGGCTTTGGGCTAAGTAACCAAGATACCAACGCCCACAATGGCAATGTGCCAACTGGCAGAGTTCCTGGGTTTTTCTTTTCCTTTTCCCTTAAATCTTCACCATGATGGTTCCATTGTGATATATTTAACAACTCCTCCTTAAAAAGCCATGGGCTACATTTTTGTATTGTACCAACGTATGCCCTGACTGCTCTTGATTTTACTGGGATGCCTCCTTCCTCTAACAATTTACTTAACACTCTTTCGGTTTGTTTTTTATTAATTTCTGATCCCATATTTCTACTATAATACAACCCAATAAGATGACGCCAAACAAAACCGAAACAGAATGAAACAAAAATGGAACAACAAAGAATCATTATATCAGCCTTTCCATCCTCCTGAAATGTCCATCCATCCTTTCTCCCTTTCTGTTCCTCAGACGCAAATAGTTTTTCCTCAG